CTCCGCCAGCCTTTAAATAACACAATAAATACAGCACTCTTCTAGCTTTTAGTGCAATCCAAAATTAACTAGCCTAATTGAGTTATCTGCAAAAAAAAATAAAAAATACTGCAAAAACAGTAATATGGTTTTTGATAAGATTGCTAATGCTGCCGTCACAATCTGAAATTATAATCGCAAAGCAATAACCTGCTGGTCCTGTATCTTCTGACTGACCCGATAGCATGTTCAATCTTATGAAATATAAACTTACCCAGCAAAGCCCTATAATCCATGTTTTCCTCCATCGCTGCTGCTGATATTGTGCGGCTGGTTTCAGATCAGTCGTCCAGTGCTGTATTGGTGCACTGTTTAGAAATGCAACTCTTGAAGCCGTCTAGCATCTGATCTGACAACAGCCTGCAATCGGCCTCGAGTTTGTCTTCTCGATCTCTAACACAGATAGACATGCACGGCAACAAAAAAAAAGAGAGAGAGAGAGAGAGAGAGAGAGAGAGAGAATATATGATAACACTGTGTATTTTGGATTTGTAGCCTTTAAGCCACAGAATGCAATGGAAAAGTCGCTTGGGAAATCAGGAAAAGGGGTCACGAAGACGTTTGCGTCCTGCACATGACCAGTGGCATCCAATGACCGTCGAAACAGGCTCATTAAAACATCAATTGCAAAGCTGTAAATTGTCTTCTAACAAAAAGGAATCTGGGCTGCCGAAAAAGCCTCTAGTTTTTTGCGCATAATGACTGAGCCAGCTGCACTTCCTCAGCAAAGAAAATACAGTCAGACATCTGTGTGTGTGTGTGTGTGTGTGTGTGTGCGTGCGTGCGTGCGTGCGTGAGAGAGATAGCAAGAGAGAGAGAGTGAGAGAGAGAGAATGAGAGAGAAACAGAGAAATTACAAACACGTTAAAACATTCTTAATATGCTTTTTCGAATAAGTAAAATAATTCAAATTAATTTACATTAAAATAAGCCTAGCTAAAAACTGAAACTGACCTAATTAGTTACAAAAACATGTTTCCAAAACAAGAACCGTCGAAAAATAAAAATAAATGACAATTATACGTGCTAGTCTAACTCAAGTCTGAGTTAATGCGCACAATACATTTTATTAGATGTGAATACGTAAAAAATGCATTTCGAATCGATGGGAAACTAAATACATATGAAATGCCTTATTTTTTATTAAAATAGAATAATAGCCTAGTAATTGATCATTAACCTATACATTTTATAAACAGCAATAATGCACGATTCTGAATAATGGTTCTCACAATTTGCTTTGAGCAAAACGATCTACGAACAAATGAACAATAGATTCAGAATTCTAGATAATTTGTCGGTGTTTGAAATTTAAACACATTTGCCACTTTTTGCTTGTGGGTCAAAACGACTGATAGCCTCGAAGCAATTCAGTGGACGGAGTTTTACAATAGACAACACATCACCAATAAATAGCGATTTTATAGTTTATGACTTTTTTTTACCGCAAATAATAGGCTAGCCTATAGGCCTAATGAAAAATATTAATAAATCACTTTATTCGTGGCTGATAATGCGAAATCAAATAACACTCTCAAAAATAAGTAGGCGAGGTTGTAATATACATTCATTATTGGTCGGTATTTTTAATCTAAATTAGCTTATTGACCTTATTTGGACACATCAGATAAAAGTTGCCATTTTTAACGCGTGAGATGCCATTTGCCAGGCAATTTAATGCAAAAATAGCATGCCTGCATAAATAGGCTACATGCTTCTGAACATGATTTCCATATATGGACAGACATATCTCTTTCATAAATGTATCATTGTAATTTAGCATTGAATGGCTATAACGAGGAGGTATGGAGAGGTGGTGGTGGTGGGGGGGGGGGGGGGGGGGGGGGGAGGGGGGGGATCTTAAAAGGGAATGCCTTCATAATCAAAGTAATCTGAAAACAGATTTTATGGTAGACAACCTTGAAGTTTCATCCAAGGGAACATCTGAGAGACGGGGGCGAGCGCTGATTTAGGTATACTGGTTCCGAGCCAGTATCACTACTGGACGATTAACAGGCTCGGTGTTGTAGCGACCCGGTCGGCCTCTCGCAGTGTCGTAAAGACCCGCTGTCTGTGAAAGTTATCGTGTGCGTAAAATAAAGAGAGGTCGCAGTGACACGTAATTCCAGCAGGATTCTCGCCTGATAACTGGCGCTCTGTGTCTGGACTTCCCAAACATATGAAATGATTGCATCAGTGCAAATACGCCATCGCATGCCTACCGTTCAGCATCTTGTGGAAATGTTGATCCGCAGGAGAAAATACTTTGCCCACTGGTCGACAAAGTGAGAACTGATGGTGTCAGATCTTATTAATGCCAGTGGAATCAGATATGATTAAGAGCTGCTGTTATTGAATAGTGTAGCCTGTTTGCTGAACAGGCCCAGAGCCAAATCCATCGGTCAGGGTTTCTCCTGCATGACCCCTAAACACGCTTGCTTTTAGTTGTAGCGCACATGACAGACAGGGAGGGAGAGGAAGGAGAGGGAAATTAGATTAACTGTAGCCTGTGTTTTTCTCTTTTTCCGTTTGGGGTTAGCGAAAGTCTTGTTCGACATATGTGTTTACATTAGGCCTATTTGCATTTATTAATTTAGGCTACTGCTACTACTACTACTACTACTAATAATAATAATAATAATAATTAATAAGATGTTTGCACTATTTTGTTGAAACATGAAGTACCGACAGGCTTTTATATACAAAACCATCTCCCAATAATTCAACATGTAGCTAATATTTCAGATATAACAATAAATCAACAAATATTTAAAACTACATTAAGTTTTTAGTTGTTTTGTAACAGAGGCATGAATAGCCTATATATAGGCCTATTATTTATACGCTATAACAACACAAAACAAGCATAGGCTTAATAGGAGTGTTTATGTTTGTCGTGCGTGCGTGCTTAAAACAAATAAAATTGCTTTGTTACATTAATTGCTGTATGTTGTGTTGAGTAAAGCTTCCATTTTTACTTTTCATTTCTAAATGGCCTGGACTGTTCTGATTTTCCTCCTGATGATTCATGTTGCATTGTATATTCATTCGAAAGGAAAGAAACATTAGGTCAAAGAGAAAGAAGAAATAAGCTGTAGAAAACTCGCTTAACATTTTAACTCTTTTAGCTCAATCGTTATGGGTCATTAATAAACCATAGGCCTATTCAGAACGTTTTATCCGTTTAGCCAAAACTGAGCTAAAACTGAAATATATTTGCACACACAGTGCTCCATGCTGGGATACATGGAGCTGTCCACATTCCTTTGTTCTTGTCCTTTTCTCAACCCAACATCTATTCAGGACCCTGTAAAGTGCTATAGATGCACCTTTAAAACTGGGAGAACTGAGCGCATATGTTTGTCCCGAAATATGAACTCACCGGAAGAAAATGAATTTAGATACTTGGATTATCGTGTTTTAATTCTGATGAAGCTCATGTTAGTAAGTGTGCACGGGCACATACAGTCCTTTATTTTCACAGAACAACTATGCCCTCTAGTGGCAATAATGCACACCCCTGATTCATTTAGCAAAATAGCGGGATGCGTTCGTGTTTCTTTTTTTTGCATTCGCGTTTCAAGGCATGTCTATACACTTTGACGCCTATCTGTTAATAATCTAAAATGAGTGTTGCAACGAATGCATGACTGAAATTAATTACGTTGATAATCCCTGCTGCATTTTATTGTGACATCAAAAACTATTGTCAGCTTTAAGGTTTGTGGAAACCTTAGGAGTGGAAATGCATTTCGAGAATAAACGTGACTTTCAGAGTAGGCCTACTGGGGGGTCGATGCCGCTTTAGTCTCACAATCAATACATCGACCAGACGCCCCGCAAAAAGTGTCTACGTTTTTGTGTGCAAGTACAGACACAAAGACACAGTGAGGTTAGTTTCAAAGAGAAGAGCAATAACAGGCCTATACCATAAACTCATTTAGACCAGACGTCTAGCTCTTCTATAGCTTTATTGGACCCAATTTCTTCCTGCTCTAAAGCAATTCTTGGTACAGGTTTGACGATAAATTGGGGTTCCTTGCAACACCTTTTTCTAATCATAAACTTTTCTTTCTGCAATATTCTCTAACAATGAACCTCTAGTTTGTGTTCAGCATGAAAGAAAATGAGGCTGATCGCATATCCCTGAAATGTAAAATATCAGTACATAAGCATGTCGAACTTGAAATTTATTTGTAAAAATTGGTCTAAAAAGGAAACATATTATCACAGTAAGTGCACGAGTTGAGTATTCAACAAAGCTTGTCTACACCCAAATTCACTATACAGCACTGAAGACAATTGAGCTTCACTGTGACCAAAATAAAAGACATAAAATAGACCAAAAAGGAGTTCGTTTTACTTATATAATTTAGACCTTTTGATGCATCTAACACGCCAACAAAAGCTTCAACGAGAAATACACTATTTTAGTAAGGAGAAAGTCGAAATAAGGGATTGAATACACGATGTCCAATTTAAAAAGAAAGAAATTAAAGGCACAGTAAATTATTCACGTGGCTGCATGAGGGTGAAGAGGTTTTGCATGCATTATGGACAAAGATGTAAAGATCAGCAGATTAAGAACTATCAGATCACGGACCATATCCTAATTTCCTAAGACATTATTATTATGAGTAATGATAAGTAACCACTGACGCTGAATTTTACTGTGCAAAATAAAAAAAAATGAATTCTTAGATCTTGAAAGAAATACTGCATGGTTCTGGGAAATGGATTTTAGGGCGTTTTAAGCCAAATGTAACTATTTTAGAAATCGTTGTGAAATACCCATTCATTTGAAGTCACTCAAATAATTATTTTGACTCAGAATATATATATATAATTAAATATAATGCCAATTCAATCTTGAGTAGCTCAACAAAACAAAAAAAATCACAAAAGTTGTATCCTAATCCAAGCATATGTTAAAGGGACGCACATTAGCTGCTGAGTTGAAGCACGCTTTGCACTAAGGATCTTTACCGCTCCTCTCTCGGTTCATCTTCTTCATTTTCATTCTTCTGTTCTGAAACCAGATTTTAACCTGCCGCTCTGTTAAACTGAGGATTCGAGCGACTTCATAGCGACGATCCCTCGTTAAATACATGTTATAAAGGAACTCCTTTTCCAATTCCAGAGTCTGATATTTTGTATACGGACAACGTTTCTTTCTTGTTGATCTCGCATGGATCCAGTTTGCAGCAGGGTTGCCTGAAAAGAAAGAAACAAGCTAAAGAAAGCATAATAATAATAATGACAATGTGAAAAGAAAACCATGCACATAAGCTTAACTTCCACAAGAAAGGTCATGACCATATCAGAAACGGAGGTATACGGTCATATTTAACCATTCAAATTTTGTGTAATTGGTGTTAAACATTAGTGTGAATGCAATGATTTCCAAAGTTTATTTTTTTTAATGGCCACTACACCGATGAAGGCCAGTGGTAAGAGCCCGGACACTTTTATAGGTTTGTAAAACCTCCAGTTTAGGACAGTTCGACAGTTGTAAATCACAGGGCAATTCATTTTACTTACTTGGGTCAAGTTGTTGTTGTTGCTGTTTTTCGTCTTTAGGTTCGCCGTGGCTCGAAGTATCATTTTCAACTCTTTCTTCAGTAGTTTTGTCTACGGATACAGCGCTGCCGCGAAACTCGGGAACCACCGGCGTCTCTGCTTCAAACGCGGCGCTTTCGGTCCTTTTCGAGGGTAAACTTTCAGTCTTTGTACCGCTGAGCCGAGTGTTGGAGTGGAACCCCGATAAAGAGATATGGTTCGCGACTGGCTCTATCCAGGAGCGGACGTATCTGTTGTCAGAAAGATGGGTCTGGTGGACGTATGGATGGTAAATCCCGGACACTGCAGCAGGAGAGGGCTGATGAACCGAGGACCAGGACGCTGGGAACACGGCTGACTTGGGAGCGAAGCTGCACGAGGAAAAGTCCGCATTTTCACCCACACCTGACGGCCTCGCGGTGTGTGAACCCTGGACATAACGCGCTCCGTACACATCCTCCGTCTCGTGCCCCATAATAGAGTCCACATAATAGCTACTGAGAGCTGAACTAGTCGACATTTCTGGATCCCTTCGAACACATATAAAACGTTACTCTGTTTCCGAAACCTTGCCTCTGAACAATCATAGTATTTTTGCTGCCTTCATCTTCAGTGATTGGTTGCATGAATCACGTGATCATATTTACTAATACAGAGAGTAAATCAGTCCTCTGATAACGGTATGTTTGATTTTGCACTCTTAAAAAAAGACAAGTTATTTTTATCTGAACTAGAAGTGATATTCTGCATTCATCTTTCTTTAAATTACGCCTGTTTCTTTTTTTTATAACAAGGTCAGATTAATGCACCCTTTTATTTGCACTCACTATTACCTTAACAAACGATTCCAGCCGTGTAAAATCTTGCAAAAATTTCGTCATAAGGTATGTCATAGTCTAGCCTTGTAAAGTATTTTATAGAGTACCGAGTTGCAAGTCCTCGTAAAATAAATGTAATAACATGCTGTAAAACAACGAACCACCACAGCCTCACAGATTCTCATATTTTATAAACTACTTTAGTGTTAAGATCTGTTATGCGGTTTTTGTAAGTTTGATGCTGACTGTAAGGTGTTGTGAGATTGACACAGGAAGAAACATTTGTATATTTTTGGTACTTATTCAAAAGAGAGTCATCGTATTTTATGTGTATCAATAAAGATTTTATGAGGTGCATTTGATTATGTATTAATGTTCCCTTAATAAAACAGACTCTTGGCATTTCAAAGTGTCTTGACCTACGTGTTTATCATTAATAACAATAATAATATAGCAATATTCGGATCTTTTTAGATAACCAATGTAGCTCGAGATTGAATTACTGATGGTAAAAATGTTAATCTACCAAAATAATAGAAGTTTATATATAGATAAAATAGAATAGATCATTTGTGTAAAAAGAGATTCAGTCAAGGGAAATGTAAACACAAGGAAAATATAAAATATAGACTTTACATATTCTTCTTAATTTGAGAAAATAATTTGTGTGAAGAAAACAACGATGTGTTATGGTAGCTATTTGTCGACAAGTTGTCACTGAGAGCTCAGCCGTTACAATTTCGGTCAAAATGATAATCTGTGTTTCCATCTGTGACCACACACTTGAACACATCTGAGCATGTGCCTACAGAGGTGTATGGCATTGTGTTTGTGTGCGCACATTATAGAGAGTGAGTGGGCGATGCTAGAAATACACTTTTTTTAGACGCGTGGAAGGATCGGTATTAAAAGACGAAAATAATTACATCTGCATGACAACAATTAAACAACATGTTATGAATGTATGGGATGACGGACCAAATCGTTTTCACCTATAGTCTACCAAACCTCTATGTGCTTCTGGTTTGCCTGATTTGTATCATAATTTGAGATTTGGGATATTGACGTTGAAGTTTGAAGGTTATAGGGTTACATTTTCGTATTTTGAATTACGTTAAGGTTTTATTTAGAAAAAAAAATGATTTATTTTTTGGGCTTACAAAAACTTTTTTTTTTCAGAACATAACAGTCCATTTTGGTAATCAGAACATGCAATGTCTGTTACATTTTTCAAATAAACGTCAATTGACATGTAGGCTACCCCTATTTGTAAATTAGTTTGTATTTGCTAATTTATCTTTGAAGAAGAAAAAAATATTTATCTTTGTAATTTATCTTTAGGGGTGTGTGTGTGTGTGTGTGTGTGTAAGGGGGAGGGGCGAGACATGTTTTTTATTACGCTGTGGTTTAGAAACGCTATACCAAATATTACACCAAAACACTATTATGACATTATCAATTTATTAGTCCACTGACCACATGCCACAAACATGCACTTATACAGACATATTTAAACATCTATTATACAGAAATCTTTAAACGTAATTATTTTAAATAAATGTACGCTTTCATTGGAGAAAGAATGGGAGATCTTCACTTTCGAATGTGCTTTCATGTCCAAAGTCATGGCTTTTTGGCGCCACATTTTTGCTCTGTTCCCGCTAAAATGAAACTGCTTGGAACAGCCTGTTTCTATAATCTTCTTTTTTAGAAATTAAGACCGTACACCACTTTTATACCCTGTGAAACATATGAAATTACACCAGGCTTCACATTTCAAATGCAATCAAAGATGTAGCAACAAATGACAAGTATTCAGCAACGATCACAACATTGGGACGTGAAAGTAGCCAAAACAATGCACACTGCCCTCATGTCATCATTATACAGGAGAACATAGACTGACCGAAATGAAGGGGATTAGTTTTTGATCTGCACTTGTATGCATGCTCACGAAAAAGTGAGATTGGACGTCAGTTCACGGATACGATTTTCTCTACTCATCTTCTTAAGTTTCATCCTGCGGTTTTGGAACCAGATTTTCACTTGTCTGTCAGTAAGGTTGACGCTTTTGCTTATCTCTAGACGGCGCTCCCGAGTCAGGTACATGTTGAATAAAAATTCTTTTTCTAATTCCAAGGTCTGGTGTTTTGTGTATGGACATCTTTTTTTCCTTCCGCTCTTCGCGGTCAACCAGTTGCTCGTCGGTGTGTCGTTTTTGGATTCTGCGAAAACAAAAGGACAGAATTTCAGAAGACAGAATCAGCCAAACAAACAGGGAAAATAGGACACGTTTTCTTTCTACATAAAAACATAGACGGCATACATTTGTTAAAACGGCTGTCATAATTAAACCAACGTACTGAGTCAAAATATCTATAATTGTCCATGTGGCCCACAAGTTACCAGTATTCAAGTGTTGGTTAATCTCTACAACGTAATTTTATTGAATGCATTTTAATGTTTTGTTTCTGTTGTTTGCGTTTGGTTAACACATGATCTTGTCTTTTTATATATAGCCTAAGCCATTACCTCATGTTATAACCAATGCACTTTTATATGCAGTTTTCTGATACTGCACCAGAAATAGGACTTGACTATTGAGCTCCTCAGTCAGTATCAAATAAATAGCAATGAATGATTTCTACATCAAAAGAACATTCATTCTCGTGCTGAATGGATTAAGTCGCAAATACATTTCACCAATGCTGTTCTTATATTGACCAAAGAAGAATGTCAAGTCACTTGCAACAAAAGGTATTTGATGTTAACGCGCCCTCGCAGCGCCGTTTCCTGTTAGAGCTTTTACTGCAACCTGAGAAAGACTCCCATTAAACATTACGACTTTCGGGCTGTTTGTGTTTTATATTGGGTTTTATGATGCTAGAGCGTTCGCGTTACACCAAGACGCGATTAATCCGTTTATTGTACTCACCTTTGCTTTCTCTGTGTGGCAATTCAGGGCTGGAGACAGACGCCTCAGTTGTGCAATGCTTCTCCTCCAGCGAGCTGAGTTTGGGATCTGGACTCTGCGCCGGGGAAGAGCTCCTTGTGTCCCGATCGAGCGTAAGCTTCTTTTCCACCTCGACAAAGGGCGTTGACTGCGACTTTGGAGTCACCCTGTTCAGCTGCATTAACGTAGTGTTTGGGCTCATCGTCTCGTTGTCATAGTCCGGGTTTTTCGCCGACGCGTAAGTTTGACTTAGTCTAAAATATCCAGGGACCGGGATCTCGGGACTCTCAACGGAACATGATTCGGGGATCAGGTTGGAGTACGCGGGTATCTCAGACGAACTGACCTTTGCTCTCTTGTCGGAGTACATACAACAGTTAGTCTCTTCTTTAATGCTTTGTGAAAATGTGCAGGTGGACATCTGGTTGAGCGGTTGCTCTAATCGGCAGGACCTGCTTGGATCTGCCCAGGTATCAGTTTGAGGTATGTACGAGTGGACGTTCATGCCCATGTTTTGGTGGTTTACTTCCCCCCGTTTGCCAAGAGACGGCAGGAGTCCACAGGTTTGCATTCCATAGGTTCCCATTTCTGCAGTGGCTGGCATGTACATGTTACTGCTGGAATAAAAATCTGTTCTGCACGCCCCAATCAAGGAATCTACCAAAAACGTGTTTGCAGCAGGAGAGCTGTTGGGAAAGGACATTTTGGAGAGTTTCTTTTTTTTAAGAAGCAGAGAAGTGTCCTCTGTAAGCTGACATATCTAGCAAAACAATCCCTGTATAACCAGCGAGTCTCTCTGCAACCACATGACACTCTCACCAATGAAATTTGAAAATGGCCTTGAGACGCAGGCTCTTCCCCGTCACGTGGGCGCATTGACACATGATTTGAAGTTTCAGACGTGGTCAACAGCGACACCTAGAACAAGGACTTGAAATTGGTTTCAAGACTGCCGAAATAACGTTGTTAAATCCATTTCAGGATAACATATAAAATGAAAACTTGCACTCATATATAGGCCTGCTGTTAAACAAAGACCAAGAACAAGGAAAATAATTTATAGCATTTAGCACAGTCTATTTTGTATAGCTACCTTTAATTTCCATTCAAGGTCAAGATAGGAAATGTCTGAAGATTTCTCGTAGTTCACGAGGCAAAATGCAGAGGACTATGCAGAACAAAATGAGCCGGTGGACGCGGGCCTTAACACCGCTGACTCGATTAAGAGTGAAAAACAAAATTGTGATTCATCCTTTCTATGTTTGTTTTTGTCATGAATTATGTTTTAATAGACACAAATGATTTTGCATGTTTTCCACATTGACATTTTTGTTGGACGCAAAGGAAATTCAAATGTTATTACTACTTAATAATTCATGTAATACCTTGATTTTTGTTTGCTGCTATTTTCAAAATTAAATATGATTGTTAAATCATAGCTAGTCAGTGCATTTATCAGGTACACGTTATCAGTCACATTATCATTATAAGATTGTGAGGTATTTGTTTCTATATTTGCAAAATATAGTCTATAGCGCAAGTCAAAGGTTTAAACGGCTTTTCTGTTTTGTGCAATTAATGCAGTTCTTTAATATGAACAGAGTGGAGTTTATCAATTCTTATGCTATTTGTCTTGTAAAATAGGCCGATATACTGTGGTAAACGCATTTACACATTACACATTGTAAACGCACATACACGCTCAGCGAAAACATGTTTTATGCATCATTATAAAATTATTGTGGGAAAAACATGTAGAGTATTCGCAATAACTAAATACGCAACGTTTGCAGAATTTAACAGCATTTATAAAGGATATCATATTATCTCTGCTTAAGAACTGGATACATTGAAAATGCGCAAGGATCATTAAATGATATTGCTATATTTATATGCCGTTGAATAAATAATTTGCAATGTGCTTGTTACAAGTGTGTAATCTATTGTCACAAACCAATAATATCGTCATTATCTACACAAAATTCTAAAATATCAAATTAGCTATAATGAGTCATTAACTATTTTATAGAAATCTTGATTTTAGGTAAATGTAACGGCGCACGGTTTCTTTACATAATTTGGATAAAGCATAAAGACAAAAAAGAACGCATAGGCTTCGCGCTTAATCAGGTTTCCTACTAAAAATAGCAAGCTGACAAATCTTCCAGATAAATAACAAATAAATAAAAAGAATCACTGCAGAGGACTGACATCTGAAAACACACATAACACCAAACAGGTAGGCCAACATAATATTCATATTAGTAGTGTTCACGATTAAACATGTGCAATGATTAAACTATTATGCTAAATGCATAAATTATCTGGGTTATGAAATTATAGGCAAATACTCTAAAAAGCCTATAATTACATCTTCTGAATAGTTTTTGGTTATTTAATTTGTTGGTTCACCTTTATGTGTAATACATACATTTAAAAAAATAAACAATAGATAAACGATGAGAGGATGTAGATGCGGGTACAGTTTAATACATTTCCTAAATAAACTTGGACTAGGCTACTGTTATGATCCATGTATCATTTGAGATATATATATATATATATATATATATATATATATATATATATATATATATATATATATATATATATATTTGCCTGCAGTCTTCCAGCGAACTGTTTAGGCTATATAACAAAGCTAAAATATTGTCAAACCCTTACAAAATCTGTCTGCTATAATCGGTCATAATACGATTGCTAAATTAAGGATAACAACAAAAACGACAAATAATAATAATAATAATGGTGGTGGTGGTTGTGTTAATGTATGGTCTCTTTATCGAAGGGGACGTTTCCAAAAAAGGGGACTGTAAAGAGGCACGCTAACCTCTGAGACTATGAAGAAAATGTTTACTGAAATTGTCTCCAACTATGCAGATGAAGATACCCTCCGTACGTGACTAAAATATATTTTCCCGGTTTTCAGGTTATTCTGAGATATGATGCAACAGGGTAAATCTAATTGAGAATAAGAGTGAATCTCAATAATAACATACCGCCAGTAAACGGGCGTAAAAACATTAGATTAGATCACATAACTCCGCTCAAGATCATAGTCATTGTTTTTGAGGAAAACTACACTTGGATTACACACAGCACCAGGTCCGATCATTGCTGTGAGTTCGCCCTCTCGTGGCTTCAAGCAGTATCAACAAAATGTACATAAATAAAGGGGTTGTCTATGTTAAGATACCTTATTATTACTGGCAGAGTAGCCTATTATAAAACTCACAACAATACAGTGTTAATATTATAAACGGAATTCCCTGTATACGGCTGAGAGATTTAGGAAGCACACATAGGAAACAAAAGCTTGTAAGATTCTTCGTTTGCCTCCACTGCAAATATCGGGTTTGCCTTTACAGCATATTCTGATTCCACAGAGGTAGCCGCTTCTTTACAGTAGGCCTATGTCCTCTGATATAATGACAATTATAGCTCCTTTTGGGAGCTTTTTGGTTCTTATAGCATAATCTTAAGAAAACACCACTGTGCGCTCTAAAGCGTTAAACAGTCTAGACTTTTACTGCATTGTTACCCTTGCCTAAATCCCCTTTGTAGGAGAAAAACATTATGGAGGATTTGACATGGTTGTATTATATGGTTTTATTTTACACAGCATTTCACCAGGCTTAACGGCGGCTATGTGCAGTATTTAACCTATAGTATAGGAGGTATCAGTGTGAAGGCCTTTGAAGGCAGATCAGTGGGATTGAGGGGATGCGGCGGCCATATTGGACGTGCTGCACTGCGGCGGCTCTGAGAGGGCGTAGTTTTTCAAAGAGAACCGCAAAAAAGGCGCCTTTACTTATTCAATAAGGTTAAGGGTGACGACCTTGACATTACAGAAGTTCAAATACAATATTTCATTCGACGTTCGAAGTTGTTGACGAAATCGAACTTTGTAAACCACTGTGTTCAAGACGGTTAGTGCTGCATTTGACGTAAACAGCCAAATAAGCTGGTCGAAATGGGGTGATGTCTAACGCATAGTAGTTCAATTCGAAGACTAGTCCTCTTTTGTAAGATAACACGTAGCCTATTATTAGATTTCCACCCTTATCTGTTCACATAGTACTCAGTTCTCCTCTCTCTAGACAGAAAAAAGAAAACATCTGCACCCTTTGTGTTTCAGGGCAAAGTCACAGTTGAAGTGGATAGAGGGTCCAATAGCCCCAATTTAATTTACTGCCCAGAGTTTATTGTACTGTCTAGACTGTTCAAGGTTTAGTAAATAGCCTTAGTGTAAAACAACATACAAGGAAAGAAATTTGTCAAAGACCTATAAGTTACCATTGGAAATTGTTCTCTCTTCATCTCACTTTCCTTCTTCATCTGTAATAATCGAAAACAACATTCATCTGGAAAATGAGTAGGCCTAACATTTTGAAATGCAACACTAAAATAATTGTATTTAATAAAAATAAATATGCATTAGGCACTGGTAAATAATGCATTATGTTGCGCGCACTACCATACACAGAAAGAGACGTCACAACAATTAATACAAATCTGCAAATAATTTGCTGCATTTTTATTTAATACATAGATACATTACATGCTTCAAACGAATAAATGCATACACAGTTCTAACTCAATGAAATTACGTATTGATTTGATGTAACCAAAGGTTGCTTACAATGTGAGAATGCAAAAATACAATAAATAAATACAAATACAAAGCTACTGAATTCCAATGGCATTATCACAGAGTATGAAGAGATTGTCGAGGTACCTGTTCCTGAGAACTGATAATTTCCCTCACTGCGGATACATTGTTGTAGATAGGCTAATTTGTGCAGAATTTTAATTGCGGATAAAATTCATTTTAGATAGCAAGTATTTTGCATAGTAAAATACAGCGTTGACGTGAAAATAAGTCATGTGTCCGACGAATGGATGATGTCCCACAATCATGACACAATAGGATAGCCATCGTCTCCCGAAGCGGCAAGTATATATCATGACTTTCAGAACAATGGATTTCCAGTGAAATACTGGAGACGATCTCGGTTCATCTTTTTCTCTTTCATCCTTCGGTTCTGGAACCAAATCTTCACTTGTCGGTCTGTAAGACTGAGCATTCTTGACAACTGCAGACGCTTCTCTTTGTTTATGTACACATTGAAAAAGAATTCTCGTTCAAGTTCTCGGATCTGGTATTTCGTATACGGGCACCTCTTTTTTCTGGACTTTGTTGCACCTACAAAAAGAAACGCAACTTGATTACATTGCAATGAATTTGAACTCTACAACGGCAGATGTTTCTGCAGATGGCATTACAAGTTCGAGTCTATCCGACACTTCGGATACTAATGCCTAATTTGTTTTCATACAAAACTTTAGTTTAATCCGCACTACACATACACAGACAAAACACTCGGAAAACGAAAGTATGTTTACAGAGGCAATACAACGAGACAAACACTGCTACATGAAATATACACATGCACGCAAACGGCCCACAATCGCAGGCACACACAGACACACACACACTTCACGTCCAAACACACGCACGCACGCGCACATGAGTAACCCGTCGGAGTATTTTCGATTTGATTAAAAATCTTTCGCTTTTAAGTTAAAATCTTTGGTGATAATGTTGCATAACACTATACAACAAGCAACAGGCTGAAGGCTTCTAAAACAGAACAGGCTTTCTAGAAAGTGCGGTCTTTCTCGATTTGAATCGCGACTATCATTTCAGTCTTTACAACAGTTCATAAACGAAATGTTTTGAGTAGCCTATATGATCCGACGAAAGCGCCTTCCCCATAGTAAACAGTTTTACGACTGCAAAGAGAATCTTACAAGCTATATAAAAACTTTTGCATGCGTATAAAGTGCCACATAAAAGCTTTAGGGTAGACTGAACCGCGTTAGACGCGTGAACCTACTTGAGCCGTTGTTCTTTTCTTCATCGCAGGTTGATATCGAGGATTCCTCGTCCAGGGTTTCTGAGGGATCTTGTTTGGTCTGGTCCGCGCTATCTGTAGACACATTGCATGCAGCATCTCCGGGGACACTTGTATCTGGCTTTTGTTCGGACTGCTCAGGGTTGGGCTTCTCCGAGTTAGCAGTCTCAAAGAACTGATCAAATTCTTGTGGAAGTACCCCGTTTCGGCCGACGTTGGTGAAGAAATTGCACGAGGAGCTATTACCACCGTGATGGTGGTTATACACGGAATCGTTTTTGAAAATAATTTCCGCTCTGTTTGTTGACTGTAGGAGATCTCGGTGCATTATCTCCTCCGTTGAATAGTACGAAGCGTAATTGCCCCTGTAATGCCATTTGCTCGGATGATCCAGTCCATAGTCCCTGAAAGTCACTTCACGAACAGGTTGGACTTGCGCTATGTTCGAAGAATAGGGGAAATTTACTTGACACGACGTTGTTTGTGGTAAAAACGATGAGACCGAAGAGAAATCATGAACATAGTACGGTAAATACATATTAGATGCACAGTTGCCGCGATCATCGTAGTCGGTCATTGCTCGCTTTAGCCTTAGAGAGGAAAAATCGTCAGCTTGACTGTTAAACTTTGCCCATCTATTGCACCATACGTGTGGATAGGACTCGCGAGGAAGAAAAAATCGGAAACGTACGCTGACGTGCAATTCATCTTGATCGATTCTTGAGGTAATTGTGTCATGTGATCCGGTAAAAAAAAAATTACCATATATCAATATCAGTCATTAAGTGAGCGACTCATAGGTAACCGCATGAGGCAGGTCATTGGTTGCCTACATTTTTGAAACTCCCATGTTAATTCCCCCATGTGTTGCAAGGCATTAGTAAACAATCACAGAAATACCACGTCTAATATTTTGTTTAAAATCATGCAATAGGTAATTAAATAAAAGACCTTCATCGCAACGTTAAACAATGTTTTTCAAATGTACAACATTAAGTTGTATTAATCAATTGCTTTATTTTTATATTTTTCTAGGTTTCCCAGCCACTTAACCTCACGGCCGAAAGAAAACTTTGACTATGAAGCAAAATTGCCATTTTTTTAGTATCTCCTTATAGCCTACTCGGAAATTGAGATTTGCAAGCCTTAAGTTGAAAATGCACGGTACATTGTTAACCACGTGTTATATGCGTGTGTTAATATAAGAATTGCTGCATCTCTTTTTTAAACCTGTAATATGCTATTTTACTGAAATTCTGGGAAATGTAAAGTCCATATCATATTATACCTTAGGCTACATACGAGAAATGCCATAGGAAATAATGAAAAAAAAGGGAAAAAGGAAAATAAGATTTGAGAGGTGAAACAGAAAACTAAAGAGAAACGTAATGCAGTTCACCAAATATAGTTATTTGTTGTGATGCAGCGAAAACAGATTTTCTGTTTATTCTACACAGTCTACAGAAAGTAGGCTACAAATTTAGTCACGATGTAAACATTGTACAAGAATGGTTTTCCAAAAAAAAGACAAAGGGCTATGTGTAGCCTAATAAAGTGTAATAACATTTAGAACTGTACCTTTCTGTTTTAGCTTGAAGTAAAATCTGCATTTAGTCCGATTTAGTATTCCAGTAGTAAAGCTTGAAGCGAACACAGTTATTAAAAGGAAGAGATACACTGATTCACACTGCCAAGTACAAAACAACTGTTCTGGCTTTGAACGTCTGTGGTCTGAGACAATGCGCAGCCGGCAATCACCAATAACCGTCAGCCAAATCATTTTATTGCACAGACAAAAGGATGTGCTATGGTGTACTGTCCTGGGTGGAGGTAAACAGTGACTGCTACATTCCTACCGAGATACTGTGAAAACTGCATATTTACAGGGGTTTTTTCTTTCCTCCAGATATATACATGTTTCATAAATATATTATAACGCAAAAAACTGTCGTTAAGCTTATAAAACAAATAAACAACCATCGCTATTATATTATTTTGTTCAGCCTAGTGTTTTAAAGAAAATCTGGTTTATTTTTTTTATTTTTTTTAAATCTGGTAACATGCCAATAGTAGCCTAACCATAATGTTATCTTTAGTTAATTTAAGCACAGCTCGTGGATTCGAAATGAGAACTTAAATTTGCGCGGTAACACTCAAGAAACACCTTATTTAATTTTCACAGTTTTACAATTTAATTTCTATTTTCGTAAATAGAAGCTGTATCGCGCTTTCTTAACGAAGAACCCGTGGCCTATCTTGTATATTGCGATCCTTAAGACTTGTTCATGTGTTGCTTCTTTGTTCTGTGTAGAACCCAAAAGTTTTAGAGCCCAACAAAATATGAACCCGTTTACCAGTCGATGTCCAAAGATTTTTTTTAAACGGCCAAAAAAAAAAAAAAAAGGAAGAAAATAAAACAATCCTCGAAATAATGTGAAGCTAACTTTGTAGGCTAGTAAGTGGTAGCGCATCAAAAAAAGTTATGTCACTCGGTTTGGCCATGTGAGAGCTCAAAATTGCTTCTTGCTAACTTTTTTTTTTTAAATGCGCAAAGTATTCTTAGTAGAAAGAAAGTCAGTGCAAGAAAGCCACTAACTTGACCTTAACTTTGTATTGGCGCCCCCAGTTTCTACAGCGGTCGCAGGACGTCTGGCAGAGCCCTCAAGATATTTACTCTCCGCTTGCTTTTAACTTTTAAAGGAATTATCAAGACAAATAACTTGGACCAAACTTACCTTTGTATTATTGATTAGTTGATTGATTAATTCACTCATTCATTAATAGGTAGAAAATATTTATTTTAAATTAAAATAATGATAATACCTGATATTAATGAAAATCCTTAAACACATTTGGTGAAAGTGTACAGCGCAGCCATGTCTATAATCGTGAGTTTAGTCTGCAGAGAGTAAAGATTCTGTTAGGTAAATATATAGGCCTATAAGCTATAATAAAAATAAATATCTATTTATCTGGTTTTATTTACTAATTACTACTAGGCTACTTTTTGTCAAACTACTCTTAAATTATTCATCAGAATTTTCATTTCACACCAAATATACTATAATTGTAACACATTGTTCACCAAAATACCTTGCAAATAAACAGAAAGTGAAGTATATTGAAAACACAGAATATGTGCATTAGAAATTTGGAATTACAAAGTATATATATATATATACATGGGATTGTCACATGTTTATCATGCTGGTATTAAAATATAGGCACGTTTTCGTATTTGGTATATTATGCGAGTTCTGTCTTTGTATCACGCATACATCCAACTAAGATAACACTAATACCTCTTTACCTGTTCCGTATACTCTCTTTTCAAATTATTCCAATTAATATTCAGCAAGCTCATTTGTAGAAATAAGAACATTTGACCATAGTTTGAAATTATTTCTTAAAGCAAACTTAAAAAGAGCCACATTAATAACACATTTTTTACATTGTGTATGTATACGCTACATTTCTACAAATGTAAATATAGGCCTACTGTTAAAATTAAGTTTAGTCGTACATTTTCCCTTTACATATACACACTTAATGCATAAACAGTTGCAGCACATAGTTTTCCATTTACATTCCTAGTTTAATTCAATAAGAAAATATAAAAATGATATAGATTCACAGAAGAACTTCGAACTTGAGCTTGGACTTTATTAGCGCATTTTAGAATCACCCACTGAATTACAACAGACAAATATCACACCAGAATGCAGAAGTTTAATATAATGCAGAATTTACAGGAACACTTAATAAATATTACACATCACTTTTGATTAAAAACGCAACAAAGTAAAATGTACGTTCGCAAGATACAAATTAGGTTTTATCAAAATGTATTAAAAATGTAATGACTCCCAGTTATTTGTTAGCAGCCCAGTGGAGTTTTAAATGATTTCATGAATTAAATATTCACGTCTCTACTCTAAATGTGCTGCTGTTCTAAACTACAAAGCATTCTTTTTTAGGCTATATAAAGCAAGCTAACATTACAACTTTGGAATTCTCGTTTTCCCACCAAAAACATACACCAGACACATAAATGCAGCGACTATATGCCAAATAAATATCAATTTCAATATATTCAACTTGAACATTAAATTACATTTCATGGGTGTTCGGGAGAAAATCGTTTCCAGATTTGGTGGACTAGCAAGAAAAGTCTCTTGTATGAATGATGTCACCACCTAAAAAACAAACCCTACAATTGTTGAAGAAACAAAATTAGTATATAGTGAAGGTATGATCGCGCATCAGAAGTCTTTTTTTCTTCATCCTGCGATTCTGAAACCAGATTTTCACTTGCTGATCACTCAGTTCCAATCTGTCCGAAAGCTCCTTTCGTTTCTGTCGATTTATAAATTCATTTATCATAAATTCGTTCTCCAGCTCGGCTAACTGTGGCTTCGTGTAAGGTTTTCTCTTCTTTCTTGACCTCACCTGTGAGGGACACCATGGTAGTCCTGGGGAGGAGGAGAAAAAAAATAGTATACACTCATCATCATTCATGTTACTGAATCAGCATATTCTTCTAAAGACGTTAACTCTTAAAGACAACCACAACTCTGTTGACCCCGGTACATTTAATATATATCGTGGAGCATATGGAATCAGACAGTATACTGTATGAAAACAAAAGTTCTGAAAAATTAAGAGTGGCTGAAATAGCTTGTCTATAACTGAACAAAACATGCATGAAAGTGCGTATCGATAGCACGAATTGTATTTATCGTGTAATTTATACGCAAAAAATATTTTTTACGTGCATATGGGGTTACAGTGAGTATCATATGCACGTAAAAACTTTTTTTTTTTTGCGTATAAATTGCACGATAAATACAATTCTTGCTATAGATACGCATTTTCATGAGATCGTGTTGCCATCTCACACAATAAACACAAGCCTAAAACGCTGAAATCAAGGTCACAGAATGGCATAGGCAGGGTCAAGGAAGAAGTTGCGTACCATCGGAGAAGGCTGACCTAGTCTGGCTGCTCAGTGATGGCTGGACTGGAGGCTTTGAAGCATCGGTCACTGGCTGGTCAATGGATGTCAGTTCAATCGGCTCAACCCTGTTCTGCTGTCGCCTTTCCAAGTTTGAAACTTCGTTGCTGACAGAGCTCTGCTCTCCTGCGTAAGCTGCATTAGGTCGACTTGGCTCCTCTGATTTGTGGCTGACATCTTGGAAGTAGTACCTCCCGGATTCCTCCAGTGAGCCCTTTTTGAGGCTAGCGCTCACAGCGGCTGAATTGCCGAAAAACGGCTGAGCGAAGCCACTGTAGGCGCGGCTCTGGGCCGGAGGAGTGCACGCATTTGGAGAAGTCCACGGGAGCGAGCACACCTCACTTCTACTGTAGGACATCTGCGGAAGGCCAGATAGATGGACTCCATTGCCTCGCAGGTTTTGGAGGTACAGGGAGTCGGGAGAGTGAAAATTCAAAAGGGGAGCAACATAGCCAGAGCTAAGGAGATTGTGCTCGCACATTTCTCACGAGCTCGCCCGAACGCGTCTTAAAACCGTTTTTAGTTACCCCTAAAGAATACGAGCACGGTAATTGTTGATTTGTTAATGCACCATCACGTGATATGCAAAGTCAAATGTTTAGCCACGCCCACGTGACTAGTTGTGCTGCAAAGTCTGAAAGAAACGCATATGAAATAAACAGCTTTAATTTCCTTGAACATTTTTTTCTAGATGCAACTGTAACTTCTGCCATTATTTTCATAAGATCAATAAAAATCCCCAATAATATACCTTTGTCCTCAATTGTCCGTATTTATTTAAAATGCATTTTGCTGTAATGTAAATTTTGCTGTAAAAGGTAGTCAGAAAACCCTGTTCTCTAATACTATATCTCACATAAGCATACAGATATATTTTATTAACAATCAAGGCTACAGAGTGAGATTCGTGCCACATGAGCCTTACGGGGGCAAACACGGATTGTGGTATGACTTTCAATCAAGTGTTTGAAACTTCATTAGTAGCTTTTAATACATAACATACAAATACATAACGTTCTGTTATAGTAGCTACAACATCCTGCAAAGCTGCTTCTAAACAATGTGTATTGTGAAAAGCGAAATACAAATAAATAATTAATTGTTAACCGACCTGTGCTATTATTTACTTTGTGTACACACACACACACACACACACACACACACACACACACACACACACACACACACACACACACACACACACACACACGTCATAAAGTTGTAATAAAAAAAACATTACAATGCTGCATTTCTGAGGAAACGGCTACTGGGACTTTCAAAGAACCCGCGTTTGTGTTATTTCGTAAACACGACTGCCAAATTTTCTATATATTGTAGCCTATATTATTATGATCACAACTGCCAAATTTTCTCTATATATATTATAGCCTAATTATTATGATCACAACTGCCAAATTTTCTATATATTGTGACCTAATTTTATATGATCACAACTTGTCATAACTGCTTTAATGAGATCATTGCTTCTGTCTAAATTAATACAGCTAAAATAAAACCGCTAACTGTTGCTGCATGACTGCATGATTTGTACACTGTAAAATGTAATCAGTTGACCTAACTTAAAAAGTGTGGAAACCCGTTGCCTTAAAATTATTAAATTTCATGCGTAATTGAAAAAAAAAATAATAAGTTAAGGGGAATTGTGAAGTTCACATAACTTGACGTTCATTTAGCCTACTTTGATTTTAAAGTTAAGTCAACTGATTACTTTTTTTTTTTTTACTGTGTATTATCTCAGAACTGTACATTTCTGACATATGGACATTTCTTTGACTCAGTCACCTCTGATAACAGATTACTCTGAATTATAATGTAGAAAAATGCATTTTCCGTAAAGCTGAAACAATATGTATTGTGAAAAGCGCTACACAAATAAATGTGAAATAAACACGGGGATAAAGCCAGAAAGAGCTTATAATGCATGTAAAAAGTCTACTGTTTTTAAGCGTAACTTGGAAAGGCCATCTGTAAACCTTAAGCTCACAAACGGATGTTTACACATTTTTGGTGTAAACGAAAAAGGTTTTGATATTTTATAACTTTGATACAGTATTATACAATTTTAAATAGCTACTAATTCAAATATTTTTTTAAGATTTCGTCATTGATATCTAAATTCGTTTTTAAGTCGATTGTTGATCTTGAGGTGCCGAGCTTTCGGTGCAAGAAATTAAACATCTAGATGTCGTCGGATAATCTTTGTTGCCGGTTTCTAAAATTTTAGAGTAGGTCAGGGTATGCAAGTCATTTTTATCTTACCTAAAGATTTGTCCAGATGATCCAAAACACGTTTTAAAGAAAGTGCACATATGAAGGAGCAGACAAAATGACTATTGTAAACAGGCAATTTCCGGAAAGAGTGGAGACAGTACAACCTCCCACTTTTTACGAGTCCAGTAAATGCATGAAAACCTTTAAAATGGGATTGCTTTAGACTGTTTCACGTTCTGTTGCGTGTTGAAAACACAGAACTCTCATCCGTTCAACCTTAAAAAATATTTAGCCTACATGGAAAGGATATGGTAGTAGCCTACATCAGTATAGTTCAAGGTCAAAGTCCAGACGCAGATTTTCCAAAAACAAGTCCAAGTGCATTTAATTAGACAGAAAAACAGAAGAAAAAAACTGTCTAATTCTTTTAAAATTCATTTTAAAAGGCAATTACTTTGATGAAACAGCGTCGATTTTAACAGCTGAAATCAGCATGACCGAGAACTATAAACATTTTCTTTAAAAGTTTAAGTGCAGTCGTTGTTAAACCCTTTGTACGAATTCGCCAACCAATTCGGCAAAACATAAAACAGCTAGGAATTGTTATTATTGTGTTGAGATTTCTCAGCCCTCCGATGGAAGTCTTTTCTGATGGTGGATTGAACATTTTTCCCAATTGTGACAGTCAGATTACCTTTATATTAGCCTTAATAGCCTACATATCTATTCAAAACTCAAAGCGCCATATTCTCTTTTACATGGTCAAAGCAGTTGAAAAAATTCTCAAAATGCTTGACATTTTTTAATACAAACAGTATTTCTTGGATTATAAATGATCTTAATGCAAGGCACATGCTGACCTATAGATGGCGACGCAGCTTCATGAATTTGTGGCAAGTATTATTCATGAGACCCATTGAAGTCAAGGTTTAGTCTGACAATGTGTCTCAAGGTCACCGAGAACACCCAGTTTCAAAAGAAGATGATTAATATATATATATTTAAATTAAAAGGCAACAAAAATTGTGCATTGTGTATTTTTTTTTTTTGCTAACGCGTGTATTTTTTGCTTTTCGAAAAAAAGACAATAATGGATTATCAAACAATCAATCGATAAAATAACCAACTTAATTTGGCTGCTCAATCAAAATTACTGTGAGTCTGAATATCGTGCTTAAGTGCCTAATAATATTCACATCAACTAATTTGGACACCATTGTGAAAAAATACACACCATTGCAAGTCTCAACAGTTGGGAAATCCATACTATTAAAAATACCAATCCTCTACTGAATTCATTCGTTTTAATCAAAGTAGGCCAACATAAAAGTATAGGTCGACTGTCAAAAGCTAAATTCAAGCCAATCACGTGGCATGGAATGGGAAAGCGCTTTTTTGGCAAATGCTTCACTGTTGAATGTATAGTGAAGCTGCAATGAAAATAAACACAATAAAGCCAAGCATATCTCTCTGAATAATGCAAATGCAAGCGGAAATAAATTAATTATCAAAAGACTGCGGGATCGTGCTATTTACTTGTTACGGGAAAACCAGTCACGGTCGTACTGTTGAAATTAACTAAATCTGTCCACGATATGATTCTATTTGCAGTATAGAACAACGTCATTATACTTGTAGAGAGATAAAGAGAACACCGACAAACAAATGTTTTTCCCCCTTGTCGACATGTGAAATATGTCATGAAACCTTTTTTTTTATTATTATTCAGTTTATTTACGTCAGTGTTGCATTCTGGATTTTCCCCATAAAACTCTGGTAATATAAACAAATATGGTACACAATCTGCACATTTTGAAAGCATGGAAAGACCAGTGGTCTGGGATATAGAAATCAGGCTATACTGCTACAAAATGACCAAAAAAAATGGTTTAACAATATTTAAATTATTTTGAAAAATAAGTTTGTTTTTATCTGACACTACTGAAATACAATGACAATCTCAAAACTCAAAGCTGGACATCTGAACTGCGACTTTGAGTAGGCCTACATAAGTATTTGAAAAAGATAGCCATTACTAAAGAGAACAAAGAGCTCTTCCCTATAGCCTATCAGCAATTGTATGAATTAATCTTCAACAGGATTACAATTACTTTAGGTAAGTCATCTTCTATATAGCGCTTTTAACAATGTTAAAGGTCTTTGTTAGGGTTCCTCTTATCCTTGACTCGGCGGTTTTGAAACCATATAGTGACTTGTCTTTCTGACAGGTTGGTAGAAGCAGAGATCCTCAGTCTCTTCTCTTTAGTAATGAACTTAGTGTTGGTGAATTCCCGCTCGAGTTCTTTCAGCTGCAGGTTTGTGTAAGGAACCCGTTTCTTTCTCCCGCGCTGACAGAACGAAACTCTTCCCTCTGGGGAAATACAAGTCATTTTAATCAAGCAATCTTCTGTTACAAGACCTTTCCATTATTCCAAGATTAACAATGATGTAACATTTAGGAAATCGCAATTGACGTCTTTTTTTTTTTAAAGCGCGACATGTAGATTTTCATTAAATAAACTCAAATCAGGTTTAAAATAACGCCTCCTTTTCTTATTAATTTGAGTCATGATTAATTTCAGTTTAGCGTAGCCTACTAAATCTGTGCTTCTGCTTTCAAGGATTCATTTATTTAATTATCTTGATACTGACATGATTTTGACATTTAGGCGGTGCCAAATAGCCTACAGTAAAAGATTTTTTTTTTTTAAATACATGTTTTAAATTGAGGATATCCTCTGTCAATGAACACAAGATGAGAAAATCTCTTGGTCCTTCGATCAGAGAATTTGTGCATGATTTGCGCCTCTTTAATGGGTCTAGAAAAGTTCTGACTTTATACGTAGCCTAACTAATGAAGAGAGGCGAGGAGTGATTCACAGAGCAGAACTCAAGTCTTTTACCTGCCAATGATGGTTTCCAGATATGCGGGCTCTGCGTCTGGTCTTTGCAGTAATAAAGTTGACTGCTGCTGCAATTGTTTGACCAGTCCCATGGTTGGTGGTCTTCCATTGTCCAACAATGTGTGTGATCTCCTGCTCTATGAACTATAGGTAAATCATGGCAAATACAGGCAGGGATTCTTGGGTAGGAATAACCTTGGTAGAGAGCGAACTCCTTAAACCATCTGGAGGCATCACCATAATCCACGGGTTCGGACTGTCCATTCGCACTTTGTTTCACAAAACTAGGCGGAAACAAAGCGTTCTGTTGTACTTTGCAGCAATAACAACTGTTTCCGAAATTACATCCATAAGTGACTGAGGAATTTGGGGCAATATGGTCTGGAAACGAAACGTAAGGAGTAAGAGACTCGGAGTTTATAGAAGTAGGTCGTTCCGCTGAAGAGAACAGCGGAGTTCCTGACGCAGACCGGCTCGAGTGCGGGTAAAAACTTCTAAACTCCTCATCCAGTCCCACTAGTACTTCCATATTTAGTTGCACACGGTCTATATGATTTGTAATTTAACTCATCGTCTTATATGGACTCAAACCCAATAAATCTGTTAGCGGAGAACAGTCTCCGTTGACAGTTTAGCTTTTATGTTTATTTTCCGGACTAAATACATGGGTCAGATAACCTAGTACCCGATTGGATAGTTATCGCCATGTGACATGCAAATAGGTAAGCTGAACTTGGACTACACTGTAGTTTTCAGTTGTCCATGTGAAAGCCTGATTTAAGTCTGAGGCATTTTAAAAAGTTTGAAATATTTTTTTCTATTTTTATTTAATATATATATATATATATATATATATATATATATAATCTATATTTATTTATTTAAAGCCTATTAAAATACAATCAAAAACTTACTTGCACACAGCAGTGGAAATGTCTCATATTAGTCCTGCAAACATTATAGTTTTAAGCCATTTAGGCATGTGCTTGATGCTCTGTCAAACAAATGACATGTGTCATGTGATTTTACTGTGTGCATGTGTAAATAAGGCTGCATTTACTTAATCAAATAGCTACAGTAAAACAGTGATATTGAGATATTACAGTTTAAAATAACCTTTCTATCCTGATATATTTCTGTGATCAAAGCTGAATTTTCAGCATCATTACTCCAGTCTTCAGTGTCACATGATCCTTCAGAAATCATTCTAATATGCTGATTTGATGCTCAAGAAACATTTCTTATTATCATCAATGTTGAAAACATGTTGTGGGGCTTTATATATGTTTTTGGAAACAATGAGACATTTTCTTCAGGATTTTTTGATAAATAGAAAGTTCAAAAGTACGGCATTTCTTTGAAGTAGAAATTAAATGTCTTTACTTGATCAATGTAATGTGTCTATGCTGAATAAAACTATTAATTTCTTTATAAAAAAAACCCCGCTGAACTCATGACAGGCCATAATTTGATAAATGTCAGAAATGGCTGCTGTAATATATTTCAATCACTAGGTGGCTCTGTAATATAATGTAAAGAAAAGAAGTAAGGTGTGCCACTTTTATCTTTGACTGGTCCTTTCTTAGGAGTAAACTGTCCCATCAAAGTCATTGGGATACACGTCAACCATTTATATTTCAAAGAAAAAAGAAACAAATAAAGAAAAAACTAAATTGTTAGCATTTTCATACCTGGAGGGCTCCAAGGGTTTAGTGTTAACTTTGTGGCATGCCCTTGAGTGTAAGGAAGGAAGACAAAGTCGTGAAAGTGGAGGAAAAAACAATTCTACCATTCAAATCCTTTAGAACACTCGTAGATCTACTATCGCTATACGATTTAGCCTACTTGAGTTCACCATTGCTTTGGGGATTCTGGGCCCCATTGCGAAACACCTGTGAGCCCGCTCGAAAGCACACAATTAGAGCTGGAAGGGAAACCAGACCACCTGCAATTATTTTTCTGTAGTGCCTTCACAATAAGCTTGTGGTTTGTTGACACACCACAGCAGTAAAGCTAGCTGTAAAATAAAGAATGATGGAACATACCTTTCACAATGCTAAGGTCTATAGACCTTATAGCACCAAGGAAACAAGCACGCAGCCATCTTTAGTATTTTGTCTTTGAACTTCCGTTTTTGCAGTAGCTCTATTTCTATGGTATCGTTGTTGAAGTGGATTTACTTATTGTAGAGTTAACGAAAGTTATCTTGAGCATTGTAATATTTGAAGCGGATGTCATAACAAATGTCAGTAGACCATTTTAAAACGAGCGGTTATAAAAGATGAAGTACTTCGCACAGGCTATTTAAGACAGTAGCCTATACTGGCTAAGTCGATGACAAATGCAAGACATATGCTTATAGGCTTAACAGAGAAATTAATCAGGCTTTAGACACAAGTTATACATTTCGATGAACACCTTTACAGATCTTTGAAACAATAATGTTTTACTGAAGCCTGGCGACTGACAGTCCCACAGCAGGAACAGGAACACTGAGGCCTAGCCCTAAACAAAGGCTGGTTAAATAAAAACTTCTGTGAGCTAAATGAACAAACTGCTCACACCAAACGGGTGTGTAGCCTACTTTTAAAAGTGCAATTACAATGGAAATGATCAGTGTTGGGTCTCCAGACGTGTGGGTTTTTTTTAAATTGCTGAATTTAATATTTTACATGTCACCATTTTAGTAGGCCTACATATAGCTACTTTAATTAAATTTAAGTGTTTTTCACATTAAGCGTTTTAGAATGTCCCACTGTTTTTTTGTAATTGAAATACATCAGGTGCTGACTGTTGCCTATATGGAGTAGTGCCCAAAACCTGCATTCTGTTAAATTTTTTTTTTTTTTTTTTTTTTCCAGAGGTGATTGAAATATTCATGGCTTGAAAAAGAGGAAAAATTGACAGGCCTGTGCTGCAGTTCTATGGTTGTTTTGCCATCCAGGGGTGTGTTTCCCTTACAACGACGTAACTCGATGCTTCACTGCCATAGTGCGATGCATCTGAAGAAATCAACTAGCTTGTCACGACTGTTTCCCGAAACTGTATTAGGCTTGTTTGAGATGCGCCTTGCCTTGCCTCGCCTGAAATGTAGTCGAGAGTAGGCGGCTGCAGTGAGAGGAGGAGTGAAAAAAGCGCAGGCAAGCCGGACAGATCGCTTTTCGCGCAGTGGATCAGACACCTGTGAGATCAAAGGTGGATATCGCGGGATTCACGCTCGTGCACGGTGTTGCTAATAAACTGGATGTAATTGAAGTTTTGTTGCTTGAATATGAAAATAAATATAAGGAACAAGACACCCAAAGTACTTATTTAATTCCATTTTAAATAGGCCTATGTGTTTATCAATCTCTTTTTTTAATAAAGATATGTGTTTTTATTTTTTATTTTTTTATTTTTAAATTACATCACATAGATCGCACTGTCAGAGAGTTTGGGAATATCCACACATAATTTATACACATAAAACATGATATCAGAGTTTTAAAATCAAACATTTTAAAAGAGAACAATACATCACGGTTGTTTAAACGCGCTGATCAAAAGCATGATGGGAAACGACTTGCTGACGGCACAGCTTAATGCTCATTGGTTTAAACAACCGTGATGTAGGCTATTGTTCTCTTTTAAAATAGGCTTGTTTGAGATGAGCAAAATCTGCGCAGAACCGATCACCGGTGATCAGCGCGAGATGCATGCCGGTTAGAAATGTGTCCGAGTGCGGTCCGCCTGGCTCTGATGTCATGCTGACGTGAGTCAAAAAAGTCTCGCGACCGCAAGGCACACGTGTCGGATTCTGCAGTCGCGCGCAGTTGCTCTCCACCGACTGCGCTGATCAAAAGCATGATGGGAAACGACTTGCTGACGGCACAGCTTAATGCTCATTGGTTTAAACAACCGTGATGTATTGTTCTCTTTTAAAATGTTTGATTTTAAAACTCTGATATCATGTTTTATGTGTATAGATTATGTGTGGATATCCCCAAACTCTCAGACAGTGCGATCTATTTGATGTAATTTTTTTTTTTTTTTATTAAAAATAAAAACACATATCTGTAAAGAAAAAAAAATGATTCATAAACATATAGGCCTATTTAAAATGGAATTAAATAAGTACTTTGAGTGTCTTGTTCATTATATTTATTTTCATATTCAAGCAACAAAACTTAAAATACATCCAGTTTATTAGCAACACCGTGCACGAGTGTGAATCCCGTGAATCCCGCGATATCCGCCTTTGATCTCACAGGTGTCTGATCCACTGCGAGAAGAGCGATCTGTCCGGCTTGCCTGCGCTTTTTTCACTCCTCCTCTCACTGCAGCCGCCTACTCTCGACTACATTTCAGGCGAGGCAAGGCGCATCTCAAACAAGCCTATTGTTTGATTTTAAAACTCTGACATCATGTTTTATGTGTATAAATTATGTGTGGATATTCCCATAGGCGTCGATTTCGGTGGGGACGGTGGGTACGCGTCCCCACCAGATTTCGTCATGAGTCATTTTGTACCCACCACTCTTGGAAACATTGAGGCACGGTCGGATGTACCTAATACAAATAAAACATCTCCAGTTAACTAGCAGAGCATTCATTTAGTTCGCTCTTAAATAAGAGATCTAGCTAAAATGTTTTGTTTTTTAACTCAAGCTGAGCGCTCGTGTCCGCTGCTATCAGTGTCGTGGATACAGTGTTCTCTGTGGCTCGCGCACAGTCTTCACTCGGACGCGCACTTCAATCTATCGCCGTTGCGGAGAGACTCTGTATACACGGCCGCATTAACAATAGGGCTAGGGGGGGCTAAAGCCCCGGGGCCCGAGCAAGGAGGGGGCCCGTGATTGGCTGTGGAGTAGATACTAGCCATCTGATTGCCAAAGCCTTACCACGCAACGCCCCCCACAAATTAGCCCTGTTATTTAGTGGCGCTTTGCCGTATATTCCATTCATTATCATGGAATCATTATCATTAATATTATAGTGACCGTTCGCAAAGACCCGCCTTTTTTAGTTACTGTGTGACAAGCCAGGCGTCTCTCACGAGTCACGCACATGATCATGTTCTCACTCATGCAGTGAAAAATACATCGCGGGGCAAAGACTAACGTTACACCGTGTGACTACGAGAGAGAGTTCAGAGCAGCTTACTGTTGATATGAAACAAAGTCTCAACTTTCAAATATTGTCATTTAAGTAATTTAAACAATACCGTTTTCAAGTTCAAGTCCACCGACGTTAATCTACTGACAGCTTTGTTGTCGGACAAAATTGCGTATTCGGCGTTATGATTGGCCAGTTCGCCTGTCAATCAAACCCCCGTGGGCAGCAGGGCATGGTGAATTGAAACGTCACGTTTTAATTTGATATAACAAATACATTTATTCTCTAAAATTGAAACGTCACGTTTTAATTTGATATAACAAATACATTTATTCTATATTTAACTTGTGAACATCTACCTGCTGCTGCACGTAGGCCGGATGGCTGCCTGCGCCTTATTAGAATATATGCATCAACCAATCAATCGCCTCCACTCTTCACTTCATTCTAGACTATTGCGTCATGCGTCATCATCGACCCCACAAATTTTCGTAAGTTTGATTATTAACTTGATGGATGTATGATGCTTTTTGTGTTTGATCAAACTCTATT